ATTTTTTTAAGGTAAAAGAGATTCACAACCTGTAATAATCTTTACTTTATGTAATAAATTTTACTAACTCTCATTTTTCACTAACTTGGCTACTTCATCATGGGTTGTTTGTCAACTGGTATTCATAATTGTAATTCATTTGCTTGAATTATTTATGCTATAAATCCAGATGTCTAAAATTACTTTATTAAAATATTATGCTATAGCAAAAGGAGAAAAGACAGGAATTTTTACATTATGGAAAGAATGTAAAGAATATGTCAATGAATATCCTGTAGCTTTGTACAAATCATTTTATACAAAGATCAAGATGCAAAATTTTATAGATTAACAAAATATTGATTATATTAAAGATTTATTAAATGTATAGACAGATGGTTATTGTAAAAGAAATAATTTATCATATGTGATTGGTAGTATTGGAATCTTTTTTGAAAACAAAGATATTAGAAATTTATCTGAACGATTACTAGGAAAACAACAAACTAACAACTGTACTAAAATTTATGCAGCAATTAGAGCTCTTAAAATTTGTAATAAAAATGAAAATTTAATAATTAATACTAATAGTATATATGTTATTAATTCCTATGATGTTAAAAAACCAAAAAAAATATTTGATTTAGTTAATAGATTCAATGATTTAATCAAGGAACATAAAGGAAAAATATATTTAAAACATATAAAAGGCTATAGTAGTATTTATAAGAATAAACAAGCAGACAAACTAGCATATATAGGTTTAAAAAATCCTGATATTGAATTAATTTTATCAGAATGTCAAAATACTATCAAAGATTATTTTAAATAATTTTGTTGATTATTTCAATTTATTTTTAAAATAAATTTATATATATATATTTTTATATATATAAATTATTGCTACATTTGTAAGAATCGAAATGTCGATTCATGTTGATAATTGGGAGGAGTTTGAATACAACATATGAAAACAGGTAAAGAACCCAATCAAAAACATGAATCACAATAAGATTCACTTATCATTTAAAAACACAACCCACGATAAGCACATGCGAGGCCAGTGGCACACTAAAAAAAAAGAAAAAAAAACACAAATTTATTTTATAAATAAATAAAATTAAATTTAATTAGTTAAATAAACCAATTAAATGTTTTTTTGAGTATTATTTAACAATGTTTCAATCTTCAAATAATTCAGATAATCAGAATTCAAATATTAGTATTGATGTTTGTTTAATTAAGAAAACTAATCTTACCTGGTTTAGAGAAAATGAAAAACCAAATTTTCGAAGACCAATTATGTATTCTGATGACAATGAACATATTACTGAATATACTCAAATTAAGTTGAGTGATAAACAAAATGCTCTTCTTAATAAAGATCAAAGACCTTTTTTAAAAAAACATGAATTTGTTCTTGATAAAGATCAGAACATTGTTGATAAAATTAGCAGAGAATATTTACTTGAATTACTTTATTCTGAAGTGAAATTATCAAACATTAGATTTAAAAACAAATGTTCTTTTGATTTATGCAGATGTAATATTGAAATTATTAATTAAATAAATTTATTTTAATCAGTTTCAAACTGATTAGATTTTTTATTATGTAAATTAAAAAATGTGTGATAAAAATACTAAACAACTTATTGTAAAGTTATCAAGTTTACAAGATCCAAATAAATTTTTTGACAAATATTGAAATGAGTAACATGACTTTTTCATTGATAAAGAAGAGAAAATTTATATGGTTAAAAAAGGTGATAATGAAGTTTTAGATATTTTTTTAAAATATGCATTAAAAAAATATTTAGAATTACGTAAACAAAAATATAGATTTAATACTTGTTCTTGTTGTAGAAAAATCGAACTTGTTTTTGTGAAAAAGACTAATTTATTTATCAAAGAAACTATCAATCATTGTGATGTTTATAATTCATCTTTTACTAATCAAGTCAAAGAAGATTTTAAGATGAGATTTCTTGATCATGATTATTTATCAAAATTTTTCAATCATTATGGTATTAGTCGTAAATAAGAGATTTATCTTTGTGAATATAAAAATATCTCAGTTTATAGAAAAAACAGTAATAAGGTCTTGGATGTTTATCAAGAAAATGATTTATTTTATTTTGTAAATCATTTTTTAAGACATGATATCAACTTAAATCAATGTTTTAATTGTAACAGAATTACTTTAAGTAGAAATAGTAGAATTGATATTACTTGTAAAACTAAAAAATACAAATGTATTTCCTAACATTCTAATCAGTTTCAAACTGATTAGATTCTTTACTATATAAATTAAAATGTTTTCAAAAGCAATCTACTTGATAATTCTTAAAGAATATGAATATACATCTTTTGATGAAATAAAATCTTTATCATTAGTTAACAAGATGTTTTATGAACTTGTTACATGTATTTATTAAACATCTCAGTAGAAAATATAGATAATAAATTTCAAATATGAATGAATGATGAACTTAAAGAATGCAAAAAAGAAATTTTTGAACAATATTTAATACTATTTAAAGATTGGATTATTAGTAAAGTAGTTCAAAAGAATCGAAATAATTATTATAAGAAATTTAATTATTCACATTTTAAGATATTGGTTCCCAGAACTACTTTCAATAATCTGTTAGATACATATATTTATCATTACATCTACACAGTATACTCAAAATGTTGTATTAAAAATCTAAACACTAAAGCAATATATTCAATTAAAGATGATCTTACATTTGTAGATTTTTTTATATATAGAAATTTATTTAAATTTGAATTGGTAAATAATAAAAAGATATATTTATTATCTGAAGAATTTGTAAAATCTTAGATTAATCAAGGAAATTTAATCGAATCTGTTTTTCTTAAAGAGTTTGTTTTTCTATTTCCTATTTAATAAAATTTATTTTATCTATTCAGTTTAATCAATTAGATTTTTAATTTCATAATCAAAATGTTATTTTCAAAAGAAATCTATCTAATTATACTTGAAAATTATGAATTCACATCTTTTATGATATAAAATCTTTGTATTTTGTTAATAAGATGTTTAAAGAACTTATCACAAGCATTTTAATTAATATTTCAGTAGAAAAAACTAATAGTAAATTTTAAATACAAACTAATAATGAGATTAGAATTTGTGTAAAAGAAGAATTTAATAAGTTTTTTACAATATTTGAAGATTGGGTTATTAGTAAAACAACTAAAAAAAATTTAAATGATTATTATAAAAAATATGATTATATATATTTGAAAATATTAGTTCTAAGATTTATTTATAATTAATGAGTTAAAACATATATTTATCATTATTATTATAAATCAGATAATTTTATTTGTAATTTAAATACTAGAACATTATATATAATAGAAGATAAAACTATATTCAATTCCTATTTATTAGAAGTTATTGATAAACTTTTTATGTATAATATAATTGAAGAAAGAGTAATATTTTTATTAACTAAAGAGTTTGTTAAAATTTAAGATAATAATTTGATAGAATTAATGAATATCAAATAGTTTTTTATTTAGTTATAAATTTTATTAAATATGTTAATAAATTAAATTATAATACATTGCATATTTATACTAAAAAAATGATTCATGATATAAATAAAAATATAAATTGTTATAAGAGTTTTAATTACATGTCTGAATAATTGTTGAAAATTTGACAGAAAACTAGTTAATGAAACTAGAATAAATTTTAAAGAATTCTGTTTTAATGCTTCATTGAGTTCATTTTGTTTTTGTTCAAGTTCTTCTATTCTTTTTTAAGATCTTTAATTTTATTATCTTTTTCTTTTATTCTATATTGAATCATTGTAATTGTTGAAAATGTTGAGCTCATGATATGTTAAACTTCAAGGTCATTAAATATGTTTCCTATTTTTTCATCTAATCTCAGATCTGTTTCTCTTTTTATTAAAATTTTAAATACTATCAAGAAAATGTTGTTTTGTTATTGTTTGAGAATTAATAAAGAATTCATTATTTTTTTCTGTTTTTATATCGTATTTGTTAAATATTGATGGATTCAAATATTTAATAATATTATTTAACAACAAGCTTCTTAAAAAACTATGATGGCTTTATATAATTTTAAAATTTCATTAACACTTATTGATATATCTAAATTTTGGTAATCTTGTTTCATTAGGAATAGTCATGTTTTGGGAATTATCATATTAATATCTTCTCTTATTTTTTTCATTCTTCTAGAGGTTTTTTTTTGTTTTTTATTATCTGTAACATCATCAAAATCATCTTTTCCTAAGATTTTATCAATTTTGTTTAGATATTCTTGATTTTTTACTAGTGGTCTAATTTTTTTAAAAAAAATTCGTTCATTATCATTTGGTTCAACTATTTTACTAAAAGTTATTACATCATCTTCTTGATTGAATATTTCTTTTATTGTTTTGTAAAGATAATTTTTCTTGATTATATTATTAACAAATTCATTTACATCTTCAATTTCATATATTAAATGAAATTGTTTATTTGATTTATCAATAAAATATTGATCATGTTCATTATCTTTATAAATTTTAGCAGCTTTTTTATAGAGGTTTTGAAGAATATTTATTTCATTTTGATTACTTAGTTTATTTATTTCAGTATCAAAATAATTATCATCTTGTAATGTTTCATTGTAATTACTATAAGGAAATTTTTGTATGTAACTTAAAAGCAGTTCTTGTATTAAACAGGATACTTTGTTTTTATATTTTTCTTTTTTATCAAATAAAGATTCAAAAGCATCATTTATATTATCTATTTTTTTCTGATTTAGTATAATCCTTCATTTAGAAAATAATTGGTTTCTCAATTTTTGTAATTGATTTACAGTACATAGTGAATCCAGAAAAGGTTCTTTCAAAGTTTGGATCAATAGATCGTATTTTTCACCATCTTCAAATGATTGTTTATTATTATCTTCTTTCATTTTATTTTTAATAACATTGTACAGTAAAGTATTATATCTACATTTTTGTAAGTTGATTAAAGTATTTTTATTTTTATCAGTTTCCGTTAATGTTTGATTGAGGTTTTCAATATTTTTGCTAGAACATTATCATTTGATAATAGAACAACTTGTTTTCTATTGTAAAAGTTTGTAATTTGTCTTTTATATCTATCATATTTTGAAATTTCAACCTTCTTTTGTATTAGTTGATATCTTTCTTGTCTTTTTTGTTGTAATGTATCTACATCTCTATCATCTTTTAGGTTTTCATTTTTGAGTTCATATATCATAATATTTATATAACATCTATTATTTAACAGATTTGCAGTTTCAATTTTAGGAATTTCTTCATTGATTTTATCATACTTTTTATTTGATAATGCTTTTAATTTTTTATCACGTTGTATATTTAAAGCAACTTTTTGTTCTTTAGACAAGTTTTTGCTATTTCTAATTTCTCTAAACCAATGTCTATTTACTTTTAGATTTGGTATTTTTTTTTTATCATATATTTTATTTCTTATATAATTGAAATCATTTGTGCCAGGTTGTGTTTGTTCTAATTTTCTTATATGTTCTTCTCTGAGTTCATTAAGTTTTTGTTTATCATCATTTTCTAATTTAGACTTAGTAATTTCAGAAAACCAAAAATCTCTTAATCTTTCTATTTCTGTTTCATCTTGAATTCCTTGTTGAATTCTATTGAATTCTGCAATATAATCAACTAAAAAATCAAATCTATCTTTTCTTATTTTTTGAAGTTTTTTTTTTAATCTATCTGTTAGATTTTGACTACCAGTAATTTGCATATACCAGAATTGAAAATCTCTCAATCGATTAATTTTAGTTTCTTCTTCAATTCCAGTTTTAATTTCATTATATCTGATAATCATTCCTTCTTGATTGATACGTAGCATTTGTAGTTTATTTTTTTGTTTTTTATTTAGATTGAAATTTTGTATTTCTTTATCTAAATTACTATCTTCTTTTAATTCTTCAAGATCAAATGTTTCTTGAATTTTTTTTTTAATTCTTGTAAATACATTATCATCTTTTTGATACTTAATTGTTGCTAATTCTGAAAAAAACAAATTCAGTAATTCATCATCATTAACTTTAAGTTTACATCCAATATTTTTTTAATATTTGCAATTTATATTTTTATTATTAATGGTACATTTACTCATTTTGAAAGTTAGAAAAAATAGCATTTGATTTCTTTATTTATATGATTTTATAAAGATCTATTAATCTATCTAAACATCATTTAATTTGGTTAACAAATACATTTCATTATAAATTTAAATATGAAATTCATTTAATATAAAAAGATTTTAATTGATTTTTTTTTAAATATCATAATTATCAATTTTTTTGATATTAATTTTAATTCAGTTTAAGAAAATTAATATAAGAATATCATTAACAAATATATAAATTATGTACATAATTAAACAAAAAAAGATATATATTTTTTATAAAAAAGGTCGTATATATTATTTTTTATTTAATATTTTATTTTATTTTTTAATTTTATTTTTATTTTTATTTTTTATTTTTTTTTTATTTTTTTTATTTTTTTTATTTTTTATTTTTCAAAAAAAAAACAACAAAATGTCTAGGAAAAATTATAAAAATCTTAGAGTTTCAGTTTTAGAAACTGGGCCTGGAGCTCCTTCTGTTGTTAGCTTTAGAGGGCCTAAATATGTTATAAATATAACTTCAATTCCAAGAGACAAGTTAGATACAACTTTTCTTGTAGAAGCCTTTCAAGATGCATTTTATAAGTTTATAAATTTTATCAAAAATGAAGCAAAAAATTAACAAATTAATAATCAATATTTGCTATTTTTTTATTATTTTTTTATTTTAATTATATTATTTTTATTAATATTTTTTATTTTTAGATTAATAAAATTGAACAAATATTAAATAATTTTGGAGTAAATTTTGATAAGAATGAAACATTTGAACAAAAAATAGACTGAGTGGTCAAAGTAAGTAAGAAACTTATTGGTATTAAAAAAACTTGATAATCCAAGTTTGTATGATAAATTATAGTTTTTTTTGTTTTTTTTTTGATTATTAAAAAAAAAAAGTATTTTTTTTTTAATGTTTTATTTTTTTTTTATTTTTTATTTTTATTTCCTACTGCTTGGTCACTAGTAAGCTGCAGCTGGTGGCTGTTTTATTAGTTTATATTTTAAGTTCACAGGACCTTCTATCAGGACTCTGCCTACATTTTTACATTTTTTATGTACATTTACAGTACTATCTATATACTAATTTTGTATTCCTATTACCCCAGAATTTTACTGGGATTATTCCTAATCGGGGATTCCTTTGTTCTATTATTATTCTTAGCTCCCTAATCATCACAGCCTTCTTATATTAGGTTTATCGCCATTTAAGGATCTGGGTACTGAAGAGCTTCCTATTTTTGTAATATGCTTCTGGTGTGGTTAATTCGTAATCGTAGTTTTAACACAGTTTACATTCCTGTTGGACTTGAACCAGCAACCTTGCGATTAGTGACCTGGGAGCATAACCACTTCACTATCGACTCACAGGTCTAATGTTTTATTTAAATAAATAAAAATATTACAAATATTTTTTGAAAGAATAATAAATAAAATTAATATAGTCTGTTATTCCTATATCAAATTTCTCAAAATCTGTTAAAATCATCAATGAATTTTTTATTATATATGAGTGTTCTTTTATAATATTTAAATTTATTGGTAGAGCTAATAAATGTATTAATGATAGATTCATTTATCATATTAATAAATCTGAAGAGCTCCTTATTATTATAATTGATAACTATTATTGTCTAGTTATTTAAGTTGTAATAGTACATTCTTGTACAAATGAGAAGCATTCAGAAGTCATTTTTTTGTTGTTTTTTTTGTTTAACAAAAAGAAAAAAAATGATGAGATTTTTATGTTCTTGGTCTTTTTATATTAACTCCTTTAGGTTTATGTACTGACACATATTTTGCTTTTCCACCTTTAGAAGAAAATGTTTGAACGTACAAACCTCTAGAATAACTTTTACACATAATACCTTTCTTTGTTAATACTCTTTTATATATTTCTTTTTTAAAATTTCATATATATAATTGAGGTAATGAAAAATAATTTACATTTACTGATATTTGATTTTTTGGCACTGGTACTTGATTTTTAGCTTTAGCTTTAGCTCTAGTTTTAGTTTTAGTTTTAGTTTTAGCTTTGACATGAGCACCAGCAATTACATTTAAAAAAAGTAACAGAATGATAAAAATTTTAAGAAATTTCATTTTTTTTAAAAAAAATAACAAATGATTTGTTTATTTATATAATTTTAATTCAAATACAATAAATAAAATTATAGTTCAATATCTTCA